TTTTTTTTTTACTGTAGCACTGTACTCATGGGTAATATCCTTTATTTTGTGTGCCAATCAGTTATTTCGCTAAAAGGTGACCTCAAGGGATTGTTTCAGTTCAAGGTTTAAAGAGTACCTCAGAGTGATAGTGTCAGGGAGTCCTCTAGCTCAACTGATCCAGGAAGTCTGGACTTTTTAAGAATTTGAGTCTTCTGCGTTTTTCTCTCATTCTATCAGGGTCTATCTACTGTGGCCCTGATCAGAACGGTTGGTAGTGGTAGACAGGCATCATCTAGTTCTTCTGGTCTCAGGGTAGATGAGGCTGTGGCTCGTGTAGGCTATTAGTCCTGTAGACTAGTTTCATCGCTGAGACTTTGGTTTCCTTTTTTCTCTTTTGCTCCTGGTGAGTAGAGACCAATAGCTGTATCTTAGATGGATGTTCAAAAGCTTTTAAAACCCTAGAAGCTACTCACCTCACTAGGATGCAGAATATGAACTTTGTGAACTATATTATGCCAATTCACTGAGTTGTACCATGGGACTAAGGTCTTAAGCCTTCAAACCCAGAAAACCAACCTCTCAGGGTGTTTGGTTATGTCTGAGAGGTATCTGGAAACTCCTATAATAACTCTTAATGAATTCTTAGGAAGGGCTCTTTTCTCTCCATTTCCTCTGAAGAAGGGAAAAGGGAGCCCATTTTTCCAGTTTTATTTGTTCCCCCCCCACCCCCAGTCCCATTATTTTTAGTAACTGCACAATATCCCTTTGAGTGGATTGCCATAATTTACTGAACCATTCCCCTATTATTGGACATTGGGTAATTTTCAATTTTCAGCTCACAGAAATAACACTGTGATGAACATGTTTGAGTATAAAGTTTTTCCATGTTTAGCTTATTCCCAGAAATAGATGTACCAAGGCAAAGGGGAGGACTTTCCGTACATACTGTCTTGGGACACTAAAAAAACCCCACAGATGCAAACAAGAGTCCCCATTAAGGAAAAAATGAAAAGGAAATAGGTGTTCAACGCCTCAAAGAAAATAATAGTAGGCAGGGTAAGTGGCCGGAAAGCCAACTCCTCCACTGTGGGGGACTGACGTTAGATATTCTATAAGCAAGGTAGCTCAGTCAGAGAAGTGCACGGTTTTTCGTTTTTTCAAATGGCAAATGTTTCTGTTTCCTTTGACAAAGAACACTAATTGAACACCAGAAGTTGGGAACCCGGACCTCATTTCCCAAAACGTTAAGTTTCATGTCGGGTTAACATGCAATGTTGTATCTGAGGTATTGAAATTATCATCTCTTTTTCTTTGCTTTCCACAGCCACCTCCAGCCTGCTCTGGGCTTCCTTTAGCAGATTGAGGGAGCAGCCTCCTTCCTAGCCTCTCTGCCTCCAGCTTTGCCTGTTTACCCCGATACTCTCAGATGAATTTTCTTAAATGTTTATTTCAGTACTTCACTTCTGTGAACACAAATTTATCATAAGGCTGCTAGAGTGGTTTTCCCCCTGGGATTTTTCAGCAGCCTGGAGGAAGACATGTAGAAAGCAGGAGGCTGGTGTCTTAGTTTGAATTCCCCCCAAAACAGACCCTCAGACAATGATCTAGGAGCAAGCAGTTTATTTGGAAGAAGATCCCAGAAAACACTGTGAGGGACTGGGGAAGTGACAGGAAAGGAGAAAAGCCAATGAAGTGTGAGTTCATGAGCAGGCTACCCCAAGGGCAACTGGGGTGCCAGCCCACTGGGGATCCCCTGAGGGACTATGGAGCACATGTCTAAGGTGAGGCTGGGGAGTTCATCCATCAACTCCCATCTCGCCTTGGTTCAAGGCTGCTCCTGGAGCAACTTCTAGCCTGTCTCTGTGGCCAGAAAATGTTCTCAGGTGGGGAGACTATAGGTGTGTGCAGGTATCATCTGTAGGAGACCCCTGGGAGTCTGGGGGGCATAGGAGGCTCTGACAGCTTCTCTACTGTTGGATATCTCTCTCTCTAGATATAGATATCTAAATCTATCTCTATCTTTCTTTCTATATATATATAGAGCTATATCTAGAGCGAGGTATCTGTATATCTACACACATACATATATGGTTTTTTAAAACAAAAATGAGATCTTACTATGCTTACCGATTTTTTTTGTTTTGCTTGACTCTTGAGCCAAGCTATGAGAAGTAACGAACTAGCATGAGCTTCTCAAACCACTGGCCAGGCCTGGCCCCCAAGGGGGAGCTCACTGAGGACTGAGACCACATCCATGGAGTCTGGACCAGAGCTCAGCAGAGTTGCTGGGATGGCGACCACTCCCCAGGCCTCACTGTGCTCCTCTCAAAGGCAGCATCAATAGATATACTCTATCCCATAATTGTCAATGGCTGAATAGTATTCAGTTGAGTGGATACACCACCATCAGACATTTGTTATTTCTAATTCTTGGCTGATAGAAACAAAGATGTAAGGGATAAGATGAATCTTTCTAAAACATGGCTGTGCCCATCATGCCCTTACTTCTCTCCTGCTCGAAACCCACCAATAGCTCTCATTACCCACACGGTGAAGCCTAAATCCCATCACTTGGCTTTCGAGTCTGACCTGTAGCTGCCTGGACCACTGGAACTTCTACTGCTCCCTGCCGGGCTCCTCCACCACAGCCAGACAGTTTGACCCATTACAGGCCTTGTCCATTCCTGTCTGTGTGCCTGTGCTCAGGCGGTATCCCCAGCCTGGACCATCCTCTCCTTCCCACACTGCTCCATCCCATCGGCCACCTCCCCAATGATGGAGTCCTCTCATTCTCATCATCCCTTCTTGTGTATCACCAAGAGGGGACTCTGCATAGTCTTGTAGTTTTGCTTTCTTTACATGGGTATGTTTTTGCTTCCCAAGAATGCTGGAGCAGTGAGGATACGCTACTGGGTACCACTCTGTGTCTCCAGAGTTCAGAACAGCATCTTACACATACAGACACTTCCTTATGCCAGATTTATTGATGGTGATCACAGCAGTAGGCTTCGTCTTTCTACCTGGAATGACGGTGGGGATGGAGAGATGCTCCTCTGTCTTCCTCCTGTTTACTTGGAGCCTGTGTCCACAGTGCCTGGGTCTCAGCTTGTTGATGGCTGTTGAAGAGATGAGACGTGCGTGAACAGCTAATGCACCCGCCACAGGCCCCCTCCTCTGCAGACAGGGACTGAGGCGCAAAGGGAGAACACAGGAATGGTCTCTGGTTCTAGACACCAGGACTGCCGTGAAGAGGAGCGAACAAACATGGAGGGTGGTGGAAGGGCAGCTCAGGGTGCTAATCCCAGCTTCCTGTCCAGATTTTCCTTGACTGCTGCCTAGGGCCTATCTTAGGATGGTCGCAGCTGCCAAAATAGATCTCCCCATCACCTGTTCTTAGCAGAGAAGACCTTGCCGAGCCCCTGTCAGAAGAGGCATGCTTTGGTAATTTTTCCAACAGCAGGGACGGTGGTGCTGCACTCCCCAAGCTCCTTCACCTCTGAGAATCAGTGGCTCGCCCAGGCCAAGAACCAGGGAGCAAGCAGCTGCTGCGGGAGAAATCTAGGAGTCAGCAGTGCATTTCCAGCCAGGGCCCCCGCCTCTTCCGTGAATCTGGCCTGCGCTTCCTGCCTTGGTCGGCTCCAGACACCAGTCTTCGGCCCGCAGGGACGCCCTTCTAACACACACAGCGACAAGGAGCAGATCCTCAGCCCTCCTCACTCACCTTCCCTGGCCCCCAAGTCTACCCTATTGCTCCTACAAAACTGTCACTTCCGGCTTAACGCATCATCTGAGCCAATCCAGCTCTGAGGCCTGGAAACCGAGTGTCGGAGTTGGGGCCGGGCCTCCCCAGCCCACGCGTTCACTCTACAAACGTTCCCCGCCCCCCAGGCACAGTACTGGGGATGAGCAGGACTAGGAGGTACACAGAGGAACAAGACGCGATGTTCAGGCAGCCCTGGCGCAGGGGGATTTGAATTGGACCCCTCGCAGAGAGACAGGCTTCTAGTGGGTTCCTCAGGGACCCCACGGGCCCGGGAGTAGGAGAGAGGAGGGCGCAGGCAGGCCCGGGGCACCAGGGCGGAGCCTGCGCGTGCTTGGTAGGAGACCGGCGCCCGCTGCGTCGCCGGCGTCGCCATGGTAACCCTGACCAGCCTACGCCCGCCATGGCTGGCCCAGCGGGCGGGAGCTGGGGCCTACCGCCATCACAGAGTGCAGCCCCAACGGTGAGGGCTGGGCCGGGGAGCAGAGCCGGCGTTATTCCGGGCCTGGGGGAGGAAGTGGCGGGGTTGGGGAATGGAGGAACCGAACCCTGGAGAGAGTTGAGGGGTGAGGAGATCGACCCCAATCCGAGAGGAAGAGACTTGAGCGGGAGGGGGATGAGTGGAGAACGCGACCCTGGCAGGATTAGGGGTGCACCCTGCTGGGGTAGGGCTACAGCTCGCGACGTACCCCATCCCTTTTCCTTCTGGCCTGTCTCGCCACACCTCTAGCCCTGGGTGACCGTCCTGCAGCCCCTCCCGTGGGTCGTCCCGCCTCTGCCCCCGCAGCTGGGCCGCGTGAAGGAAGGTGAGACTCCGGGCCGTCCCCCGCCGCCCCCGCCCCTCTGCCCTGCACATTCTCTGGGCACCCGTGCACCGCTCCTACTTCCGAGCGCCCGGGGGCTGGGGGTCTGGGAAGAGCTCTGGGGTGGGGGTGGGGATGCAGGTTCGAAGGCCCGGCGTGGACTTGCTGAACCGCTGCCCCCTAGAACTGCTGGAGTTGATGATGCTGCAGAATGCGCAGATGCACCAGGTACTACTCAGTCGCCTGGTGGCTTGGGCGCTGACTCCCGAGCCCGCCACCAGCCTGCAGGTACGTGTGCCAAAGCATAGCACAGGGGCTACGGGGGTCATCTGGGGTCGCCCCGCCCTCCCGGAGAAAAGAACCGGGTGGCAGAGGAGCACGGAAGCCAGCACACACCCATCTGGCTGAGTCTGTTTGGCCATCTATTGCGTGCCAGGCCCTATGTCAGCCTCCACGGGGGTCCCCAAATCCAGCTGACCCAGGCCTTTTTTAAGGAGGTCTCCCTGCAGTGCATCCCCCAATGGACTGCAGGCCCCACTGTACCCTGGTGCCTGGCACTGCGCATGACACTTACCAGGGGCTCAATAGTTACTTGCTGACAAGTGAATGAATACCTATGAGTACAAGCCATCGTTAGCTGTGACTACACAAGGAGGTTCAAAGCGTGAGCACACACTTGGTTGGGGATGAGGAACGAGGAGAAGCAGGTGGCATTGAGCCAGCCCTTCACTGCCAGTCAGAGAAGGCTAGGGATGTTTCCACCACCCAGGATCGCAGGGGCGGAGTCAGGAGGCACATGGAGGAACCCCTGGGTGTGCCTCAAAGGCTGAGCCTAATTTTATCACCAGTGGGCACCCTGCAGATTTGTGAGCAGGGAAGTGGAGAAAGGAGCCTGCAGAGGCCAGGGAAGCTTGTGGAAGGCAGTGCCTCTTAACTGGAGGAGGGACCCTACCAGGGATCATTTTGGAGGTGGGATGGTTGGAGGGGGAACGAATGAAGAGCTGACATTGGCACTGGTGCCTGGGAGGAAGAAGAGGGGCTGCTGGCCAAGGCTGACAGGTCGGGAGTAGCTCAGGCTGGGTGGAAGTTGTGCACTAAAGATTAGTAAGTAGGCACAAGTAAGCCTGTGCGTACCTTGCTTATTGGGTAATCTGTTCCTGCGGGCCCCACCCCATCCCCATCCTGAATGGAAAACTGTGGACAGGGGTGTCATCCCCTCCACCCCCAGGCCCTCAGGGGTCCTTAGGATGAGCCCAGCTCTGGAGTCACTCCTGGATTCTTCAGTCCCTGCTCTACCACTTACTAGCTAGGTGACTTCAGACAAGTTGCTCAGCCTCTCTGAGCTTCAGTTTCCCCACCTGCAAAATAAGGAATAAAAGTCTACACAGTGCCTTGCTCGCAGGTAGTAAATGCTCAATAAACGGTAGCGATGATTACAATATGGATCTGAAGAAATTATTTAGGGGAACAGAGGGGTGGGGGAGGGACAGCCTGATCCTGTATCATCATCTCCCTGCCTACCCCCTTTCCCACAATCTCCAGGTCTACCTGGAGGGTCACCAGGAGTCTGAGGAGGAAGAAGAGCTGAAAGTCCAGGAGGGAGAGCCTTTGGTGTTCCACCACCACTACCTGCCCTGCCCGCTGCCCACCCTGGGCCCTCTGCTGCCCTGGCCAGCCCCTCTCCTCCCCCCTCCCTCATGTCAGCCCCATCTGCAGGCCACCCCCAGGATTCAGCACTGCTCTCCTGCCCCTAGGAAGAGGGAGGCGTGAGTGAGGCTGGGGGTCTGTGTGCTGCCAGGGCCCTGCTCTGGCATGGGGCTGGAAGAGCTCACCAGGGTCTGGGGGGTGGGTGGAGATGCTCAGTGATAAAACCCCAGAAGCTACCCCTCGACCTCTGATAGGGTTCTTCTTCTCCTCCATCACAGGAGAGCCGTGCCCCCGCCCCCACCCCCCAGTGCCACCGGGACTGTGGGTGCGGATGTCCTCCCAGCTTCAGGTAGGAGCCCGGGTGGTTGGGCGGTGGGGAATGAGGCCAGAGAGGCCAGATGCCGTGGCCAGGGGGGCTCATAACCTCACTGGGGGGGTCCACTGAGGCAGGAGGGAGAAAAGATGAGGGTGCTGTGTCTCTTCCAGATTACTATGATGCTGAGAGCCTGCCATGAGTATGGATGCTGGCCCTGGACCCGTGCCAGCTTCATCACAGGGTGGAAACTCCCCTGGGCCCCCTGCCCCTCTAGCGTGCCTGTGGTCTGTGCTCCACGCCTAGCAGCCCTGCCATGCCCTGACCCTGGCGGCCCTCCCCTCTGGTGAACCAGTTCCCTCTGCACCCCACTGCAATCCTGAGCAGACTGATCTTGGCTCTGGGGTGAGAGCCTCTGAGACCACCACCCAGGGCCTGGAAGCCACGTAAAAGCCCAGCTCTGCCACACTGTTTCCTGGCCGGATGCGCTGACAGGGCTCAGGGCCTCCTGTTGGCCTGATAATGGTGGCGGGTGGGGCACCACTGTTTTCCACAGCTCTTTGAAGGCCTAGAGTGGTGGGTAGAGGGGCCCATAGCAAGGGGGGAGAGGCCTGGCTGGGGAGGGCCCTGGGGCTGAGCTGGCTCCCTTGGGGCTCCGCCCCCACCCCAGGAAGCTGGCTCTGTTGGCAGAAGGGAGAGGTCAGAGCTGTGTCCTGCTCCAACCAGGAGTGCCTGAGGTCTTGGAGGCTGAGTGGGAACAAAGTGACTTTCTCTGCCCCAGTGGGCCAGGGTGGCTTTCCCCCCACCCTCCCTCGGGGGAAAGAGCCACTCAGGGCTGGATGGGGGGTGGGGGGGCTCTGGTGCCTGCGCTGGACAGCAGGGGGCCTCCCCGTGGCCTGCGCTGGCCGAGGCTCTGAGAGGGCCCCTGTGAGTGGGAGGGAAGCCGAGGGAGAGAAGTCCACCCCTGCTGCCATTGGGTGTTATCCCAGAAGAAAGGGCACAGGTTTAAGTCCAGGTGTTTGTATTCAGAGTAGAAAAGGAAATGTCCCCAAAGTTGCTGCTTGTCACACAGTTCTTCAGCCAGGGTTGGTCCACAACCCAGAGGAAGCACGCTGAGGTCCAGAGGCTGCCACTCATGCCACCTGTGCCTGGTGGGCCCAGGGCAGCCTCCGCCAGGCCGCTAGTACCCCATAGGTACCTGTCCTCTTCTGGTGCCAGTGCTGGCCGAACACAAAGCACAGCAGGACAGACGTCACAAACAGGAACAGGAGCACTGACACAACCGTGACGATGATGATCATCTGGTTGTCCTGCATGGGCTCTGGGGAGGAGGGGGCAGTGGCCTTAGAAGTCTCTGGTTCCAGGAGATCCACCTGCCACCAACCCGCCCACTTATCCATGCTGCAATCACCCTGTGTACAGAGAGGAGTGGCACATGGTGTCTGCCCCAAAAATACCCTTTAGAAGAGTGGGCTGGAGTCCAGGCCACCAGCCAGGCCCCTGTTAGACTGTGAGGACAGATGTCTACCTGTCATCAGCCCTGGGGCTAGCATGTGGTTGCTGGACACCATGGTCTGAAGGGTGGTGTGGTCCAGGCCAAGCCCTCCTTGGGCGGAGCTGAGTGAACTTTATGCCAAGTCTCCCAAAGACGGTGAACACCTTGGCGACCCAGAGTCACAGGACAGCAGAATTGCAGAGGACCTTGCAGGTCAGGCCAACCTCATTGTCAAGAGAAGCCAAGGCCAGAAAGAGGAGAATGACTTGGTCAAGGTCTAACTAGCAGTTGTTATTGAGTCAACTTTGAGTTATGGTGACCCCATGTGTACTACATTAGAACTGTGCTCCATAGGCTTTCCGTGGCTGAGTTTTCGGAAGTAGGCCTTTCTTCTGAGGTGCCACTGAATGGACTCGAACTTCCAACCTTTTGGTTAGCAACTGAGCATGTTAACTACTTGCACCACCCAGGGACTCTTGATCAAGGTCACCCAGCTTGATAATGGCCAAGCAACTAGTCTAGCTCTCCTAGAACAGCTTGGCCTCTGGAACAGCCAGGGTCCAAGTTGGGGAATTGGGAGAGAGCTTTGGGGAACTGGAAGAATAAGAGGGAATCCTCTGGAGTTAAATGTGGAGATCCTGGTCCCTGTCTCCAAGCCAGCAGAAAACAGGACAGGGTTCTTCCCCTAAAGGGCTGGGAGTGAATGCCCTCTCCAGCCCCCTTGGCTCCCACTCACCATAGACCTCCAGCACCTGGGGCTCCGAGATGCTTCGAACAATGCCTCCGCCGCGAGAGCGCAGGTCCAGCTCTGCCTGGCATGAGAAGTTGTGGTGGCCGTCTTCCCTGTGAGCTGTGACATTCAATGTAGCTACGGCTTCTTGGGGGACAACTGTTGCCCCCTCAAAGGTCTGGTTGTACAGTGTCTCCCTACCACGGAGCAGGGTGAGGGTAAGGCTCTCAAGGGGCGCCACGCCAGGCACACTGCACTCAATGGTGAAGGGGTTGCCTATGGTCACCGAGGTGGGCTGCAGCTTCAGTATCACCTGCTTTGGAGGGTCTGCAGGGGAGAAAGGAAGGAAGTCAGGTCAGGGTTAGGGCGCAGTCCCAGCAGCCCCCACCAGGCCAGAGCCACCGCTGCCACCACAGTGTTCTCAGGTCCCTGGCTGGACTTGGGGGAAGGAAGAGGGCTGGGGTGTGGCTGCTCTACAGCAAGAAAGAGGAAGAAGGAAGCAGTTCAGGTTGAAGAATGTACTTGTGGTGGTTTTTCTGACATGGTTTCGGGAATGGACAAAACGGAGGTGCTCAGGTGTCTACAAAGAGAAAGTCCAGAAATTGTACAGCCAACTGGGAAGATGTGAAAGTTTGGATCTGTCTCTCTCCCCTCCAGGAATTAAATAGAAATTTCAAAAATGAAACAATTTGAGTAATTATGTTGATAAAGACTTGGAAGGAAGAGCTCGCTGGAATTAGTAGGTGAACGGTGAGGTTTTTCACTCGAGGTGGGGGCTGGAGTTAGTCTGGCCTTAGTTTCCCAAGATCAGGTTCATAACTGCCATGATTCCTTATCAAACAGGGCACCTGGTGCTACCCTGGATTCCTTTTTGAACTAGAATACTCTGCCTCCCCCCACCCCCCACCCCCACCTCTACCCCAGGATAATATGTTGGATTTAGGGCATATTTCTCTTCATTTGATCCACTGATGTTGGAATGGGGAAGACCCAAGTGACACCCTTAGTGCCAAGATAACTGAGAGAATCCTGGCCTATCTGGCGAGTTTTCGGGGCTCATGGGCAGGTGTGCGTGTGACAGTCACACATTTCTCAAGGGCCCACAAGGGGAAGATAAAAACACCGGGTATACCTCAGCCTGCAGTGGGGTGAAGGGGCCATTGGAGGGCTGCCCCAGCTCTCCTGATGATGCCCCCACTGCTGGGGTGGGGGGCACAGGCCGCTCTGGTGATGGCGCTGGTACTGATCTGGGAGGAGACTGTGAACACTGTTGGGGGACATTTGGATTTGTGTACATCTTGGTTAGATTGTCCTCCTCTGAGCAAGACTCAAATATCGGTGGCCTGCTTCTGAGGCCCATAAAGACTGTGAGCAGACTCTAAGCCACCTGGTTGGGGTCCTACTCCTTGTCACCTTGAGAGGTCAGGGAGGCTGGGGCCATGAGGACAGCACCCAAGGGCAGTGACAGAGAGCAGCTTTGCCTACATTCAATAGACAAGATTCTGCCTGTGGGAGAGGAGGACCCCATGACGTAGCCACTCACGGTACACACTGATGGTGGCATTCTTGGACTGCTGCTCCCCGAGGCAGGTAAAGTGGCAAAGGAGGACTGTGTCCTGGGAGATGTCTGAGATCAAGAACTGACACCACCGAGCCTGGCTGGCCAGTAGGGTCTTGGTTAGGCTGGTCTCCAGACCACCGCTTTCTGGCTGGGCACAGTTGGTGCTGCAGTTGACCTCCAAGGACCTGCTGGACTCCACCACCACCTGCTCTGGCCATATATATACCTCAAATGCCTTCTCTGCAGACCCTGGAAGACCAGAAACACTGGTCAGTGTCCACCTGGCAAAATGTCCCTGCTGTCCTGCTTGGTGGAGCTGCCCATAGCTGGTGGTCTGGATCAAGGGTCAAGGGCCCAAGAAGAAAGCCTAGGGATGGCCCCCCTGTTCAGGCTTTGTCACCCTACACCTAGACTGAGGGGGCTGCTTCCCAGGGCGGGCAGGGTGGAGGTTTCCTTCACACGCCCTGAGGCCCACTGGAAAAGGGGTTTCATTTTCACTTTGCCCGCAGCCAGCAAAGGCAATGCCCTCTGCTGCCCCCTGTTGTGCCCTAGGCCACGTCTGATGACCAGATAGGGGTCTGTCCTCACCCTTCCCTGAACCCCAATGTCCCTTCACCTCCTGAGACCCCACCCAGCTCACCATTCAGCCTCAACCTGCCACATCCATATGCCACAAAGCTATGGGCCTGTCCAACCTGGTGTCCAAAAGGCCAGGACCTCCCATACGCTGCCAGGGGCTGTGGGGACTAGAAGCCAGGCTGGCCCAACATCCTGTACCCCTGGCATCACGGCCTCTGTGTACAAAGCCTCAGTAACTTCGAAGCTGAGACCCCCTTGCCCCAACTCAAGGCTATGGGAGCAGGGCAGCCCCACTGAGGCCCTGTCCACCCCATCCTCTGGGCTGGCGTGTGCCAAGTCAGGAACCCTGGGCACCCACTTACCTGGGCAGCAGAGCAGGGTGAGAAGGGCTGCGGGCAGGACCCAGCAGCTAAAAGAGGACATCTTGGGAGGCCTCTGCGGGACAGCCGAGGGCCGCCTGCGGAGAGACGGAGGGTGTAGGTCAGGAGTGGCCGCTAGGAGCTGCAGCCCAGTATTTCCAGCATTCTTCGAGTTGATGATTGCATTTCCTCTCATTATCTGAGTGGTCACTGGAAGCCACCACACCAGCTGGCTCCCAGTGCTCCGGGCCACTGAAAATCCACACAGAGGAAGCTGGGGAGGAGCTGATAAGCAAGAGAATGAACAGTTCCTCCCAGCATGCTCCCCAAGCAGAGAGCAGGGTGGGTGAGGGGCACATGTATGGTGAAGCACGTGCATGTGTGCATGTGTGTGCACACAGGACTCAGGTGCACTGTGTGTGCCTTTGTGCATACACGTAGGAGAAGGACACCTTCAACCCCAGGTCCGGGGAACCCCCCCACCCCATCCCACAGGACACATTGTTGGAGTCACTTCTGGGTGGAGAATATCCGAGGTCAGGACTTGCAATCACTGTAGCTCAGGGGCAGAGGCAGGAAACCTGGACAGGAATTGAGATTCTCCAGCTAAACGCCCAGCACAATTCAACATGAATTTCCAATGAAAGTTTTCATCCTAAACCTGCCCCTGACTGGGCTGATTAACACTTGAGGCCCAGGACAGGTGGAAATGCAGCCCATAATAGCCCCCAGGTGGCACTATAGATCACTGGCCAGAAAAACAAACCCGTTGCCTTCAAGTCAATTCCGACTCATAGTGACCATATAGGACAGAGTAGAACTGCCCCCATGTGGTTTCCAAGGCTGTAAACTTTATAGAAGCAGATTGCCACATCTTTCTGCCGGGGAGTGGCTGGTGGGTTTGAACCACTGACCTTTCGGTTAGCAGCTGAGTGCTTACCCACTGTGCCTCCAGGGCTCCTTTTTCTAGGCAAAAGAAGGTACTATTTAATCAATTATGCTGGACCCACTGGTTAAACATAAGGGAAAAATGTACCCCTACCTCACACCAAATGTAGAAATCAATTCCATTTAGATTAAGGATTTATTTGTGAAATTAAAAAAAAAAAAAACTTCTAGGAGGAAATATGGGAGGGTTATTTTTAATGTCCGTAGGATGGGGAAGAATTTCTTAAATAAGACCCCAAAATCACCATAAATGAAATAAACAATTGATAACTTTGACTCCATTAAAGACATAAATATTTCAAAGAAAAGGAAACATGCCTGAACCAATGAAAAGATGCTTAAATCCAATAATAGGAAAGTTAAAATTAAAACCACAATGTGACACTACTTTATAACTACAAGATTGGCAAAAGTTAGGAATTCTGACAAGACCAGTTTTTAAAGAGGTTGTACGTCAACAGGAGCTCGTTTAATTGCTGGTGAGGGTGTAATGGGTCCTCTGGGCAATAATTAGGCATTATCTTGTAAAGCTGAATATTCTTATACTCTATAGCCCACAATTCCCCTCTTAGATATATGCCTTAGAGAAACTTGCGCTAAGAACCAGGAGGCATGTCCTGTCTTTATCTCTTACGACGTATGTAATCATGTAAACTTGGAGTCCCTGGATGGTGCAAACGGTTAATGTGCTCGCCTGCTAACTGAAAGGGTTGAGGTTCAAGTCCACCCAGAGGCACCTTGGAAGAAAGGCCTGGCGATCTATTTCCAAAAAATCAGCCATAAGAAAACCCTAAGGAGCACAGTCCTCATCTGACACACGTGAGGTTGCCATGAGTCGGAGTTGACTTGACAGCCACTTGTTTTTTTACCTGGTTAACCTCGGGCATGTCACTTAGCTTCTCTGCCCCTCAGTTTTCTCTTCTGTAAGATGGGAGTAATAATAGTACCTTCCTCGCAGGGTTGTTGAGGATTAAATTAGTTACTATTTTAAAGCACTTAGAATCACTAGCACATAGTACATGCTATATAACTGTTTTATAAAATAAAAATAAATAGGCACACGTGTGTGACGTTGCTGTTGTTAGGTGCCATCGAGTCAACTTTCGACTTATAGTGACCCCATGTACAGAGTAGAACTGCCCCATAGGGTTTCCTAGGGTATAATCTTAACCTGTATGCTGAGCAAATAATCCGAGAAACTGCACTATATGAAGAAGAATGTGGCATGAGGTTTGGAGGAAGGCTCGTTAACAACCTGCGATAAGCAGATGACACAACCTTGCTTTTGGAATATGAAGAAGACTTGAAGCATTTACTGATGAAGATCAAAGACTACAGCCTTCAGTAAGGATTACACCTCAACATAAAGAAAACAAAAATCCTCACAGCTGGACCAATATGCAACATCATGATAAATGGAGAAAAGATTGAAGTTGTCAAGGATTTTACTTTACTTGGATCCACAATCAACACCCATGGAAGCAGCAGTCAAGAAATCAAATGACTCATTGCGTGGGGCAAATCTACTGCAAAAGACCTCTTTAAAGTGTTAAAAAGCAAAGATGTCACTTTAAGGACTAAGGTGTGCCTGATCCAAGCCATGGTGTTTTCAATCACTTCGTATGCATGTGAAAGCTGGACAATGAGTAAGGAAGACTGAAGAAGAATTGATGCCTTTGAATTATGGTGTTGGCAAAGAATATTGAATATACCATGGACTGCCAGAACAAATCTGTCTTGGAAGAAGTACAGCCAGAATGCTCCTTAGAAGCGAGGATGGCAATAATTTGTCTCACGTACTTCGGAGATTATCAGGAGGGACCAGTCCCTGGAGAAAGACATCATGCTTGGTAAAAGTAGAGGGTCAGTGTCATGGATTGAATTGTGTTCCCCCAAAATATCTGTCTCCTTGGCTAGGTCATGATTCCCAGTATTGTATGATTGTCCACCATTTTGTCATCTGATGTGACTTCCCTATATGTTGTGAATCCTATCTCTATGATGTTGATGAGACAGGAATAGCGGCAGTTATGTAAACTTAATCTACAATATTAATCTACAACTTAAGCCAATCTCTTCTGAGATATAAAAGAGAGAAGCAAGCAGAGAGACAGGGGGATCTCATACCACCAAGGAAGCGGTGCCAGGAGAAGAGCGCGTCCTTTGGACTCGGGGTCCCTGCACTGAGAAGTTCCTCGACTGGGGAAGATTGATGACGAGGACCTTCCCCCAGAGCAAACAGAGAGAGAAAGCTTTCCCTGGAGCTGGCACCCTGAATTTGGACTTCTAGGCTCCTAGACTGTGAGTGAATAAATTTCTCTTTGTTGCAGCCATCCACTTGTGGTATTTCGGTTATAGCAGCACTAGATAACTACGTCAGCGAAAGAGAGGAAGACCCTCGACGAGATGCATTGACACAGTGGCTGCAACAATGGGCTCAAACATAGCAACAGTTGTGAGGATGGTGCGTGACCAGGCAGTGTTTCTTTCTGTTGTACACGGGGTCCCTATGAGTCGGAACCGACTGGACGGCACCTAACAACAACAAAAACAACAATGTTTACCTATGGGGCAGTTCTACTGTGTCATATAGGGTCACTATGTGTCGGAATTGACTTTAAGGGAGCAGATTACCATGTCTTTCTCCCATGGAGCCATTGGATGGATTTGAACTGCCTACCTCTCGGTTAACAGCAAGTGCTTAACTGTGGCGCCACCAGAGCTCCTTACATATGTGGTAAAGCACCAAAAAAAAAAAAGAATCAAAGGGATGGTAAACACAAAATTCAGGATGGTGGTTATGTCTGGGTGGGAGACGAGTAGCACATAGGGAGATGCAAAGTTGAGTGATATTCCATCCTTGCGTTGGGTGGTGGGTTTAGGGGTGTTCCTTATATTATTGTGCTGTATAATGTACATGTATGTCTCATATGATTTTTTTATGTATCATGTACCCTAGGTGGCACAAATGGCTTGCACTCAATTACTAACATAAAGGTTAGTGCTTTGAACCTACCCAGTGGTGCCATGGAAGAAAGGTCTGGCAATCTGCTTCTGTAAAGATTACAGCCAAGAAAACCCTATGGAGCAGTTCTGCTTTGTAACACATGGGGTTGCCATGAGTCACAATCAAAAATAAAAGTAAAAACTACAGCAACGAGTAACACATTTTTAAAAAGAAATTTAAGAAATCACCATTATTAGGGAGACATTGACTGCATACTTCTTATCTATAGTTTCTCAGAAGGACAAAGGATTATTTGAATCATTAAATCTTTGCATACCTCTATGACACCCCTATTTTTCTCTTTAAACAAGATGTTTAGCATGACTCACAAGTTACGTTTTCCAGTAAACCAGAGTACGATATTTGCTATTTATACTTGTAACATGAATTTTACCACCTAAGTATAAATTTCACAGGTTAATTCGTCAAGACTGAAATAAAGGCACTATATTAAAATGATTTTTGTTAGAATTTTGTTATGTTGAGCAACATGTTAGTACGGAAAGTTCATACAAACTAAAGTTTAGCATGAATTTTGGCATGTTTCAAACAGATCAGCAAATAGATATTACATTAATATAGTTTTTAAAAAGAGGGAAAAGAGAAATTCCTACATGTCCAGAAAAAACAACGTGAGCGTGGGGCAGGGAAGAGGCAGGTGGGATTTACTCAGTGAAATTAATCACCTGAATGCGCAAGAACGGAAGATGTACGCTGGGGGGAAAGGGGACGTCCCCGGCCCTCAGGCATGGGCTCCGAGGGACTAGATCGCCCCAAGTGGCCCGTGGACAAGAAGGCAGCCCCTCCTTCCCAAATAGGTCACCCAGATGGCAGAGCAGGAGAGGCAGGGTGGGGAGGGGGCAAAAAGCAGGAAACAAGCACAAAGGCCAGGGCTCAGAAACTCAAGACAGGCAGAGCCAGAGCTCACGGCACATGCACGGTGCAGTCAAACGGAAAGGAACTCTGGGGAAACTGAGGCTCATGGAGGAGGAGGGACTAGAACTCAGGCTTTGACAGTCGCGCAGAACTCCTTCCACGCTGCCAAGCTGAGACAGAGGGACAGTGAAAAGCATGAACTTACACTTGTGGGCACAGCCTGCGCGATTGAGGAGCGAGGGTACTCCCGGAGCCCAGGCTGGCGCTGTGGAGATGAGGGCGAGGGTGTAATGTGCTCGGGGTTGTGTTGCTGCCTCCACGGGCTTGCTGCCCCTGCCCGTGTCTGTTTGTTACATAGGGTTTCCGCCTTCTGTCCATTCAGGAGTCACATGCTTCTGGTGCTCAGGCTTATATCCCCCAAACTAACCA